GAAGATGCATTTTGTCGTTACTTAAACACTATAGCACTTTAAGAGTACAACAACCCACTCATAACTTGTCTTATTAACCTTTCCATAAGTTACAGTTCACATGTGTTCATATTGTGTTAATATTAACAGGCATAATACACGATATTTGTACACAGTGCTGCGTTTAGCAACTCACCTCGAGGGCACGTCTCTCATGAACAAACAACGTTACAGGCGCGTTAGTAGTATTTACCTACTACGTCTGAGATAGGGCGCCCTCAAGCCAATAAATCCCCACAGATACATGGATAATAAATGAATGACTTATAGCAAGTGGAATAATGTACTACATAACCTCTGTTACATTAACTTCAGCACCTCTCCTAAAGTGCAGCTCACAGTCCCACACAGAGCAGGCTGGCTTCAGTTTTCACATGTTTATATTCCAAAACTCTAGCAGCTACGTTTCCATTCGGTCACAGTGCAAACACAGAGCTGCTGCACAGTCACACCTGACCAGTGTTGGGGGTAACACGTTACTGTAATCACATTACTTTTGTCTGGAACGCATCACTGTTGATAACTTCAGTAATCACATCTCAAATCATCTCGTCACTTGTGAACTGGTTCTTGAACTATCTGCATAACGGGAGGAGAGAAAAATAAATCAAACGCCCCTTTTCATGAATGTTTCCGACCTCTCTTTTGACTTCAGCAGCAGTTCACGAGGACGCAGAAATTGCAGAGCTGCCAAAGAAGTCTTTGGAGGGGTGGAGGTATTACTTCATATTGTTGGTGAAAGCACAGCGATACCCTCTGGTGCGCCTGTGGCGAGGCTCTTTAGCCTGGGCAGTCTCGTGCTGACTCCGAGGAGGAACAGGTTGTCTGACAAACGATTTGAGAGACTCCTGCCCAGGGAGCGAACTACGGGGGAGCCAGGGGGAGCTTAGCTCCCCTTAATAAGACATCAGATCCCCTAAAAGCAGGATCTTTGATATTTTGGGTTGACAGCTGCTTTATTGACATTAATCTCTGTATTTCTCTATCATCATGGATCATGTGGAGCGTCAGACTCCATCCAGCCAGAGGGAACGATCACCGACCCTCTGCAGTGGGCCGCTCGCTCCGCGATCTCCTGGCCCTGTACGCTCCACCTCCCCACTTCCTCTCCGGTACGGGTTGTGTCGCTAGTAGCCTGCGACCGACACGCAGTTCCTGATCTAACAGTTGGTGATCGTTCCCTCTGGCTGGATAAATATTACCATGACCCATGCACTACTGCAGCTGGAGGCTCTCTGCAGCGCCAGCAACTTTCTAAATTCTTCCCTCTCACGGAGAAAAGAAAGGTCGCAAACACAGCCGCAGCCGTTGTGTCAAGCTTAATTGTAGCAAAAAGGCTCCATATGATAATAATAATAGCCTAATTATTATTATTGTAATAAGACAAACATGATTCTGTCACAGTCGCTCAGGCCTACATGCTTCAGCTGTTAATGAGTCAGCAGTAAGAATCACAGTCTTCATTATCTAAAATATAAATGTTTCCAATGAAATGTCCAAATAAAGTTCTAAGCATTATAGCACTGTACTCTAGCCTTGTTCTTCTCTTGACAAATGTTGGGCTGATGTTCACAACTCTGTTGTCACTTTGTATTAAAGAGCAGAAAAGAGAGATCCTGTGTTTGTCCTCATCATAATAAGGATTTGTGTTGATCTGAGCACTGAACATCACTATCCTACCTGCTGACAAAGGAAGATGCACGGTAGTACTTAACACAGCTGACTACCAGAACAAAGTCAACACCCTACTAATGGACACAAACACGTATGAGACACTGAGACGAGACCCAACCAGCAGATACAAGAAAAAGGCCATAGAATGTCTACAACAGTTACAGAAGGACAACACCATCACCCGTGAACAATATTACCGTTTGTATCCTGGAGAAGCCATTCCATGCATTTATGGACTACCCAAGATACACAAAGAAGGAGCCCCACTCAGGCCGATTATCAGCAGCATTAACTCGGTCACCTACAACATTGCCAAACACATTTCCACCATCTTAGCTCCATTGGTGGGAAACACGCCTCACCACGTCCAAAACTCTATTGACTTTGTAAACAAAGTTCGAGGACTAAAACTGGATCCAGATGAAACCATGGTATCCTATGACGTGACTTCTTTGTTCACCTGCATCCCCACCATAGAGGCAGTAGAAACCGTTAGGAAACGGCTAACACAAGACAACACCCTGGACAACAGAACTAGCCTCGGACCTGACCAAATCTGCAAATTACTCGACCTCTGTCTAAAACCAACTACTTCCAGCACAACGGTGAATTCTACAGACAGAAGCATGGCTGTGCCATGGGCTCACCGGTATCCCCGATTGTGGCAAACATCTACATGGAAGAAGTGGAGAATAAAGCCCTCAACTCATTCAGAGGAATAGCACCGAGCCACTGGTACAGATATGTGGACGACACCTGGGTCAAAATCAAAAGCCAGGAAGTGCAAGCCTTCACAGAACACATCAACTCTGTGGACAGTAACATCAAGTTCACACGAGAAGATGTTCACAACAACAGTTTGGCCTTCCTGGACTGCGCTGTACACATTGAAGAGGACAGGAGCCTGCAGATTGGTGTTTACAGAAAACCCACACACACAGACCAATACCTACTGTTCGATTCCCACCACCCACTGGAGCACAAGCTAGGGGTCATGAGAACACCACACCATGTGCGGAAACCATACCAACAAGCGCCCAAGCCAGAGAGAAGGAACCAGAGAGAAGGAACAGAACCACCTGAAGGGGGCACTTACAGCCTGTGGATACCCTAAATGGACCTTTATGAAAACAGCCACAACATCCAAGAAGAACAAAACTACAGGGGAGGAAAAGAAGGTCAAACGCAACAACATTGTGATTCCATACGTGTCTGGAGTATCAGAGAAACTCAGGAGGATTTTCAACAAACATAACATCCCTGTGTTTTTTAAACCCAAGAACACACTAAGACAGATGCTGGTCCACCCCAAAGACCGCACACCCAAACACAAGAAAAGCAATCTAGTGTATGCGGTCCAATGCAGTGAGGAATGCACAGACCTGTATATTGGGGAGACTAAACAACCACTACACAAACGCATGGCTCAACACAGAAGGGCCAACTCCTCAGGTCAAGACTCTGCAGTCTACTTACATCTGAAGGACAGAGGACACTCGTTTGAGGACCACCAGGTGCACATTTTAGACAGAGAAGATGGATGGTTTGAAAGAGGTGTCAAGGAAGCATCTACACCAGGGTGGAGAAGCCGTCATTGAACAGGTGAGGGGGTCTACGCCACCACTTATCCCCCACTTACAATGCTGTCCTTTCATCACTTCCCAGGAAACTCAACAAACGTAACCTATTGGCCTCAGGTGAAGATACCAACGATGGTCGTTCAGTCTTGGCCACAGCTAGTCTTAACGACTGTAACGACTGTCGTCACAGCAACAAGGAACACTAACGAACCAGCGGTATCGATGACCCGGGCCAATGACCCCACTGAGGTTAAATAGCTGAGTTTCCCTGCTAGTCAGTCAGAACTGAAGAAGTCCTTTGGATGAGGGACGAAACGTCTTCCAGTATCTTCAACCAAGTCCAGTTGCCCTTTTAACCTTCGTTGGATAATCCAAAAGTAATGTAACTAGTAGTGTAACTAGTTAGTTTCTGCAGTGAGTAATCTAGTAAAGTAAGTAACTAGTAATGTGTAATCCATGACCTTTTCTGAGTAACTACCCCAACACTGCACCTGACACAGCAATGCTCTCACTACAATTCTCCCTCTGTAAGAAGCCTGAATAGAAAGCTCTTCTAGAAAAGTCCAGTGCTGGTTTGAACAGACCTCTGCGCTCTAACTCAGACCTCATGAAGTCAGATAAGACTGGGGGCCAATCTGCTGGCTCATTTGGTGGAGCAGCAACTGTTCCATTAGAGTCTGAGCTGCTTGTATCTGATGCTGGCTGCACATCTCTGGCTGTGCTCGTACTGGCTGATGATCCAGCATCTAATCTGACAAACGGCACCACAGCCCCTGTAAATTCTAGATATTTTCTATATATTAATTATCAGCTGCATCAGGCCCATTCAAACTGGCTTTTCAGATATGTAATATTTATAAAATGACTGGGCTGAATATGTGCTGCTTAGTATTTACTGACATGTGCATCCATATTGCCCAGTCTGTCCAGCTAATCAACATTTTAATAGTCGTTATGAATCCACTGCTTCCCATCATGCATCAGTCCAGAGTTGTAACTAAACTTCACTGTCTTGTTTTTAAATGATGTATGAGGAGTGCCCTCACATCCTGTCTGGACTGGTCCACAGATGTTTCTTGCTGAATGCGTGAGTTTAATTTAAACCAGCGCTGCTCAGCTGCTTAGCAGGACAGACAGACAGACAGATTCACTGCAGCTGCACATTAGGCTGAGTGTCATTTAGTTTTTTCTCTCCTCGTGCCTAGAAGGACAGTCCCTCTTCATCCTCTCATCAAACATTCACGTTCACCTTTGACAGGAAAGTGAGGCGGGGCCGTCCAGCTCTGTGCTGGACTGTCACTGCGTATGTCGTGTCGCATCAGCTGGCTGAAGTTGATTCGCGCTGAGTCGGCTTTATCAGTTTTGTTTTTCAGTGCTGCTCCACTCAGGTGCTGCACAGGCGACTAATACCAATGTAACGAGGTCTGGTGCAGAATGTAATATGTGACATTTGGTTTTAAAATGTAGTGAAGTGAAAGTAAAAAGTTGCAACAACTAAAAATACTCAAGTAAAGTACAGATACTGAAATAAACTACTTAAGTACAGTAAGTATTTGTACTTTGTTACTTTCCACCACTGATCTCACCTACAGTAAACTGGTAAAATGAGTCCAGAGGGAGTTTACTGAGATGTTTCTGAGCTGATAGAAAGTTCTTTACAAAACAACCTGATTGTTCTTTCTGTCCACGGCTGTGCTCCAATCACAGGACTCCAGGCTGAAGGACGACACACCTCAACAGGTAAAGAGAGAAAGAAAAGAGAAAGAAAGAATCACAGAAGCAGAATCAGTTTAGTCTCTTGAATTCACTTCTTTACTGATGACTCTCTGGTTTCTGTTCAGAGGCTGATAATGTCAGGTTGGTGGGAGGAGCCAGTCGCTGTGCAGGAATACTGAAACTGAAACATCAGGGAGACTGGAGACCAGTGAGATACTCTGTCTGGACCCTGAAGACAGCAGCTGTGGTCTGTAGACAGCTGGACTGTGGCTCTGCTGTTTCTGTAGGACAGAGAAAGGAGTCCTCAGATAGACCTGTGTGGGAGATCAGCTCTGACTGTGTTCAGTCTGGATCTGCTCTGAGGGAGTGTGCAGAATCAGATTCCTCTTCCTCCATCCTGGATCTCACCTGCTCAGGTAAGCCCCAGATGTATAAAGACGTGTTCTGTTGTTAATGATGAACTGATGTTGGAGTTGTGCTGAGTCCAGTTTGAATCACTGAATTGTTGTTTCATGACATGTTTTTATTTTGTCTCTGGTGTCTTTACATTTATTCATTTAGCTGACGCTTTTATTGCTATACATGTCAGAGGTCGCACGCCTCTGGAGCAACTAGGGGTTAAGTGTCTTGCTCAGGGACACAATGGTGGATGGGTCACAGTGAGAATTGAACCCAGGTCTCTCACACCAAAGGCAAGCATCTTATCTATGCACCATCACCACCCCTGCCATCTCTATTTCATTTTCTATTATCTCTCCAGACTCTGTCAGGCTGCTGGACGGGACTAGTCTGTGCTCAGGCAGACTGGAGGTGAAGTCTAACCAGTCTAACCAGTCTAACCAGTGGTGGTCCTCAGTGTGTGAAGCTGACTTTGACCAGCAGGATGCAGAGGTGGTCTGTAGGGAGCTTGGCTGTGGGGCTCCTTCAGTCCTCCAGGGGGCGCTCTATGGAGAAGTGGAGGCTCCGATGTGGACCAAAGAGTTCCAGTGTGGAGGCCATGAGTCTGCTCTCCTGGACTGTAGAAGCTCAGGCTCAGCTAGAAACACCTGCTCACCTGGAAAAGCTGTTGGACTCACCTGCTCAGGTAGAAGAGGAGCTGCAGCTTTGATTTGGTTCATTTCTCTTCTGATGAAACTCACTTTATTGTTTTACTGATGACTCTCTGGTTTCTGTTCAGAGCCTGTCAGGTTGGTGGGAGGAGCCAGTCGCTGTGCAGGAACACTGGAGCTGAAACAGGGAGACTGGAGACCAGGGAGTGACTATTACAAGACCCTGAAGACAGCAGCTGTTGTCTGTAGAGATCTGGACTGTGGCTCTGCTGTTTCTGTAAGACAGAGAGAGGAGTCCTCAGTCAGACCTGTGTGGGGGATCAGGTCTAACTGTGTTCAGTCTGGATCTGCTCTGAGGGACTGTGTAACATCAGGTTCCTCTTCCTCCATCCTGAATCTCACCTGCTCAGGTAAGCCAATTAGTGACATCATCTATGACATCATGTATGACAGTAAGATCTGGATTGGGAAGTCAGAGGCCCCTGGGCACAATGTCTTGTAGGGTCTCCACCCAACATCGCGCACAATTAAGGTTTTGAATTATTTGTAGGAAACACCTTTAGGTTATACAGGATTTATGTTGACAGGTTACAGCCTATGATCACAGCCTGAAGAACAATATCAACACCTGTACACATCCTCCATCATGCAGAATTTAAGTACAATTTATACTTCTGCGTCAAATCAACGGTGTAGCCTCTACGTAGCCCCCTACCCTACGCTGTCACCTACGCCGTAGCCTGACGTGCACCTTCTCAAAAATTTAACTACACGTCGAGTCGACGCGGACCGTAAGCACTGTGATTGGTCGGCCGGGTAGCCTCACAATGCCTCTGTGCCGACAGGAAGTGCCCGTGCTTTGATGTAACTTTTACTAGCGGCCAAAACGGCGGCTGTAACACGGTGGATCGATATATTTGACCGTCACAATCCGAGCGAAATGACTCCTTTCACTATCAGAATGTGATCCATTCGGTCGATAACATTTGAAAAGGCTGCACCAGCTGCACGTTTACAATTTTACCCCCATTCACGTTAGCAGAGGGCTGAACCGGAAGTTAGCCTGCTCGGCCGGCAAAAGTCAACACAGTGGACGCTGTAGTGCTACTGGCGACTAGCATTTGGTTTGTGTAATCGCAGAATGACGGACGCACAAGTATAAATGCCTGGCTACCAGGGATGTATCAGTACATCCGTGGTAGCAGAATGAACAGACCTGTCAAGCCTCTCTTTATTCTCCTGTATTTTTAACCTTTCTTAAAAAAGAAACGCTGGGCGTAGTTGAAATGTTTGCTACGTTCCCCTCCGGTAAAGCCAGTTGCAGTATGTAACGTTAGAACATCAGCTGTAACAGAGACAGGAAGTCAACGGCACCCGCCAATAAAACAAGAAGAACAGCAGCACGAGAGGATCATTTGCCAGGATGGATGATGCAGGGCTCTACAGAGTCAGAAGCGTCAGAACATCATCAAACTTTACTAAACAGCTGTGGCTGGAGCTGGCAAAGAAAGACATTGTGCACATGAAAAACAAGATAAGCAACAAAATTAATGTTACTCAACATATAGCCGAGCAGAAGATATTCAGATGTAACCCCTGATGTTATCATGAACATTTTCATAAGTAACTGTGATTTAAATTTTCCCCAGTAACTGTAACACATTAGTTACAGTTAATTTGTAATTAGATTACGTAAGATATTGAACTACTAATTGCCCCTGACGGCTGTTCCACCAGTGTATGAATGTGTTTGAGCACTTAGGCTCAGTGTGTGAATATGTGTGAATGGTGAACGCAGATGTAGTGTAAAAGCGCTTTGAGTGGTCGAATAGACTAGAAAGGCGCTATACAAATATGGAGCATTTACGTAACTAAATTACATGTAACTAGTTACTTCCCAACCCTTTTCTCATGCTCAGGCGTCATATATACACGATTTGAGAAAACTGTGGCTATTTTACACAAAACAACGATTTTCATGTTTAGCAGTGTGTGTATGAGACGCAACCATGCTGTGTGTGTAGCTATGTGCTACAGGCATTTCTGGTCACCCCAGGGTGTCATTTAGGCTAGCTAGCTAGAGAAGTTTGTGTTTAAGGCGTTGACAGTCCTCCGAGGCAACTTACCCTAACCTTAATCATCACAGAAGTTTGTGCCTAAACCTAAGTCAGTAAATATGTGCATATCGACGGGCTAACCCTGCAGCTGTGTTGTAAGCCTCATGGCCGATGTGCTAGCAGGTAGGGTTAGCCTCCTTTGTGTTGCAACACAACAGCTATCCGCAGCGTATCATATACACGCAAAATCGACGTTCTGCATACAATAGCCACAGTTTTGTCAAAGTGTGAATATGTTTACCGTAAACCAACCACCCCTAACTATTCAAAACATAGTTGAACTTGTCCGAGAGAAATTCCGGTGCTCCAGTCGCTCTGTGACAGAGAGACGCCGTCAGCAGATGAAGCAGTAAGACAGAAGAAAAGTGGGAGAAGATCATTTAACGTTAGTTGTATCTCTACATTTAGTTGTTCAACATTTTCAACTTTTCACAGATCCGACATGCTTGTTAGTCACTTTTTGTCAACCGACCAATCAGAGCCTGGATATGGCAATAATTATAATTACTCTCTCCCTCGTTCTCCATTCTTCCTTCTACTTTACTTTAGCTTGTTGGCTAACAGCTGACTTGAATAACATCAGGTCCAGTGCAGCTGACCTGCCGCCCAGACGCGTATTTATGCCAAGGATGATGCGTTCAGTAAGTCAGTACTGCAGCGTTACTTGGATTAGTAACTGTAATAATATTACTGTTTTGTAAATAGTTATCTGGAAAAAGAGTAAATGTAAAATGAGAAAGTAATATTATTATTATTATAACACTGCTAACAGTAGGCCTGGCTATGAAATCAGTTTTAATTTAATGTTAGAATATTTTACTAAGAGATAATTTATACTCCACAGATTCAGTGCAACCAAAATAAAAGTTTTATTAACAATTAAATAATACTGACAAATTAAAGTCAATCAGCAACAGAAAACTACTTCCTTAAAAGAGAAAGCATGTAACAAGATTTAACTGAAAACACGAGAGTGAACACTTAAATTAGGGAAACGCTTTAACACCCTCCCTCCTCTGAGGGAGTAAACACGAGCCTACAGCTCCACACTGCTGTCTGACCCTAACCGCTCCACGACCCGCTCCGCTCTGCACCAGCTCCTCTCTAGTAGGCCTAACTATACTCTCCACCAGCGGCGTCGTTACCCCGGATGTTTTTTGAAAAGCCCCAATCTCAGAAGAATTTATTATTATTTTTTAAATCAAACAAAAGACGACAATTGAACTTTATTGCTTAATTAACGTTATGCGATCGAGAGCGAGCAAGAGAGAGAGATTATTGTTAGTATTTATTCTTCTGCAAATTAGCAGAGAATAAGACGATCCAGCTGTAGCTTTGTGTCTGTCCTCTCGGCTGTGAGCGGCACTTTATCAGAGGCGCTGAAATTAACTTATGTGGATTTGTGGTGAGGTTAATCACCTGATAGGCAGAGGAGGCATCATACATATTTCATTTCAAAATCTACGTTTTGTCCCCCCCTCTTTCCTAATGTAAAGTTTTATTTGGCATTGCCCTCCTGCCTCAGGCGGTTTTGGAGCTGGCTCATATAGGAGGCGGTTTACTAAGAGACCAGTCAATCACTCACAGTCCACATCAGTCGCGGACAGAATGTAGCCTGTAGAAATGTTGAGGGAGGAAAAACCAAGTTGCTGGAGGCCGGAGCAGCAAAGTTCCTCAGTATTAGAGACTTTTCTTTGTGCTGCTGTTCCTTCTAGCTGAAGGCAGCAGTGATGATGTCTGCAGCAGGGGTGGGTACATCTAATGTAGGCCTACTCTTAATTTCGCTACATCTTCCATTCACACCTTTTATAACTTCTCCAGTCTGTAATCTGCATTTTGCTTCATTAACAGAAATGAGCTCCTCCAGGCTGTGTGTGTGCAGTCACGCAGTAAAGCGCTGGTCGGGCGCTTGTCACGGTCACAGAGCTGGGCGGATGCAAACCTTTAGAAAATCAGGCAAATATCTTTTTATGTTCTACTAATACAACTGAAATGTAGTGAGCCACACCGTGGACCTGCTGGTCTGTTGGAAAGCAGCCTGCGTCGCTCTTTAACAAGCCGGCAAGTGAAACACTTTCACTTTCTATTAAAAGCGTCTTTAGTCTCTGCAGAGCAAATGAAGACTATACACTGTAAGATCTTTGTCAGACGATCACTGCATTGATTCTGATATATTAAAAGTGTCCTGTTGTTGAACAGAGCATCGCTTTGGACATTAGCCTGTTTCTTTTCTTTAATACACATCGGTTACTATTTGTTTCATCGCGATGTCCGACGGTGAGTCCATCAACAGAAAGTCGCCGGTGAAACTGACTTTCACTCAGCAGCTACCAGCTGTTATTTATTTTTCAGATGCACAGAGAGAGATAATAAAACAGTCCTGTTGGGCTTTACGCATGACGCACAGCTTCCTCTGTATGTAGTTTACCTGCTTCAACAACGAGCTGCTCTCCTCTTACTGCCACAATAATTATCTGCGTTGTGAAGATTGTTTAGATGCTTCAGGAATAATCAGATTGTTTTGGCAGCCTGTGCTACTGCAAAACAAGCGGTTTGGTTGGCTACATGTCCATAATAAAGGCACAGGCAGCAAAAGTTATATTTTAAAGTGATCTTATCAAAACTTTAATGGAGATTTAAAATTTTAGAAATAGTTAAATTACAGATAATCAGCAAGCAAAGCAAACTGCATTCCCTAGAAATAACCATGTTGCAGCTGTTTCTAAGCTGATGAACAGCAGATGAAACAGGTTTGTTCTTTTGCTTTTTATAATAATAATAATAATCTTTTAATTTGTAGAGCACTTTCCAAAAACAAGTTACAAAATGCTTTAACAAGTGTAAAGACAATAATACCCAAAAGACAATACTACAAAAACAATACAAAATAAAAGCAAGAAAACATTGAAAAGACTAAAATACACGTTTAAGATAAATATGAAATAGAATCAAATAAAAGGGATAAAATAAAGTCAAATAAGATCGAGAAACTGTCCCCTTTTCAGGTCATTGGTGACTTTAAGCAGGGCAGTCTCAGTGCTGTGGTACTTCCTGAAACCAGATTG